GCCATTATTCCAGTATGGATTCTCATTTCCCATTGTCTTTGAATTGTTCCAGGTTCCTGTGTGTATGTGCCTTTGTAAAGAAACCTAACTTTGTAGTGTAGCAACAGTCCCTTGTTATAAATAATTCAAATTATCCTGTGAAATTATGAATTTAAAAGACATGAATGTGTATGTCATTCTTTGTTACATTATAGATTGAAAGACATTTGTGTGTCCTGTAGAACATGAAGTGCCATGCATCTCAATTGAGCTTTTTCAATAGTAGAAAAAATAAAATATTTTTGAAATGTGACTAGAAGAAAATAAGTGAAAGACTCTAAAATTCTGGATTTTCAAAGAATACTGAAGTTTGAATGCTTTCAGTTGGAATGAAGACTGAATGTTGTCAGCAGAAACCAAAACAAAAGTTAATTTCAAGTGGGAACACACACTTTTCTGTTTTCCTTATGGTAAGGTAGAGATAGTTATCCAAAATAAGAGTACTTTTGAATCACACCGAAATTTATCTAGTCCTGCATTCTGTTCTTATTGTGGTCAAATAAGTAACATTTGAGAAGCTCTCAAGCAATACATAAGTTCTGAAGTGATCAAAATGTCTAGCAACCCCATATTTCATCAAGTTGCCCAATCCCCCTTTAAAGTTACTAACTTTGCAACTAACTCATAAAAGCAAACACCATAGCTGTGATACAAAAAAAAGTATTGTATCTGAAATGTCCCACCATTCAGCACAGCCATTGATACTGCTCTGAAGATAAAATACTTGAATTCTCTAGTGCAGTGGTTCTCAACCTGAGGTCCCCAGATGTTTTTGGCCTACAACTCCCAGAAATCCCAGCTAGTTTATCAGCTTTTAGGATTTCTGGGTGTTGTAGGCCAAAAAGATATGGGGACCCCAGGTTGAGAACCACTGCTCTAGTGGTTCTTAACTTCTAGTGGTTCTTAATTTCTAGTGGTTCTAAGCCTGTGGGTCGCAGACCACCAATGAGCCGCAAGGACGAAAATCTGGTCCTTGAGCCTCCTTCCTCTTTTTTAAAAATTTCCACTCATTTTGTGCCACCTACCACTCCTTCCCTGTCGCTGACCATGGCATATGTTCTGTACCAGAAACTAGAGCTGATTTGGTCTAGCCAATGAAATTTTCTGAATCAGCACTCCAAACTGAATCTAAAGTTAGCCAAAAACCCTTTCGTAACCCTTTTGGTACTAATGTTGGAGAGTGGTCCCTGGTCAAGTTGTCTCTGGTCAAAAAAAAGGTTAGGAACCACTGCTCTAGGTACATACTGTTGAATATGGTGGTCTCCGGATGGGGGCCAGTCATTGGTGAGTTTCCAAGAAAGATAGCTGTAGTCAATGCACACCATTCTGGTGCTGTGCTTTAGGAAAAATGCATATCAATCCTTTTCACATTCATATTTATTTCTGAAACTGCTTCATTTCTAAATTGACAGTTATTTTAACAGTGTTTCAGTTGCAGCTTGCAGGGCATTGGACTTCACTATTTAAAATTGTGGATCATGCCTGGCCTGGAAATGTAGGTTATTTACAGATTTCGATAACATTGTTCACCATTTAAACACTCAAAGCTTTGAGGAAGGTGAAGCTTTTGTCATTTTGATAAGGCTGTAGAGGGCGCTACTGAGTTTGGGAAAAGGAATATAGTTTGGAAAAAGGAACATACTCCTTTTCCCAGGGGAACTTCAGTTTCCCTGTTCATCTTAATGTGGGAGAGGCCAACACAACACAAACCTATACAAACACAAAGAGTAGGGCTTTCCTGCTTCTTTCCCATTTATTTACGCTTTGGGTGAATAATAAAAGTCATGGCATTAACTGCACATTAGTCAATGAATAATGCCTAAGAAGTCAGTATTCAAAGGAGCAATTGGAGTTACCTCTCTCTCTGAAGGATTCTTATTTAATGTGTGCTTGCAGAATTTTTATAGTATTTGTGTATTTTTAACTGTGCTGTGACTTGCCTTGAGCCATGGGGAGAGGCGGGTAAGAAATAAAATTGTTATTTTGTCAAAACAACCACCAACAGAAAGAGGCAAAGTTGGTATTAGAATATGCCCTTTCTATTATATGCTTTTAACCACATTGTACCAGTAACCAGGTTGAGTATCCCATATCTGAAATGCTTGGGACTAGAGATGTTTAGGATTTTGGAGTTTTTTTAATTTGCAGATACTTACACGAGATACCTTAAGAGACAGGACCCAGACATAAGAATGAAATTCATGTATGTTTCATACATAATGTTATAAACATAGCCTGAAGTTAATTTTAATTTACATAATTTTGTACATGAAATAAAAATATGTACATTGAATCATCAGAAAACAGAGGCGTTGCTCTCTGAGTCACCACAGAGTATATTTTGGAGGATTTCAGATTTAATTTTATAATATACAATTATAACATTGTGTATAAATGAATTTTGTGTTTAAACCAGGATCGCATCTCATTGGATTATTATGTACAAACCATATATGCAAACCTAAAAACAATCCAAGTATTTTGGGTAACAGATGCTCAGCTTGCATAATGCTCAGAAGGTTTTAAGGGCTGTTTATGTAGCCCAGGCATAGCAAACTTTGGCCCTTTTGAACTTCAACTCCCACAATTCCTAAGAGTTGGTAAGCTGTTAGGAATTATGGAAATTGAAGTCCAAAACACCTGGAGGATCCAAGTTTGCCCATGCCTGGTTTATTTACTTGTGTCAGAAGCAAATTGAGAATACAGTTGTAATGTATAAAAACACAAAGTTTAAATCTTGGCATTATGCTAAATTTCTTTTGACAAGAAGCTGGCCACTTCAAGTGCTTTTGGTGTTGCAGTAAAAAAAGTCTTATATTGTGCAGGTGGCAGGACTCAGACTGGTCTTACTACATGCATGGCGTAGCGCTATTACCTTTTCATAGGGTTTTCTGAGGCAAGGAAGATGCCCTGAACTATATTTCAGATGCTTATACTCTATGGATTGCTATGAGTTTTCCGGGCTGTATGGCCATGTTCCAGAAGCATTCTCTCCTGTTATTTCACCCACATCTATGGCAGGCATCCTCAGAAGTTGTGAGGTCTGTTGGAAACTAGGCAAGTGAGGTTTATATATCTGTGGAATGTCCAGGGTGGGAGAAAGAACTCTTTGTCTGTTTGAGGCAGGTGTGAATGTTGCAATTGACCACCTTGATTAGCATTGAAGGGCCTTGCAGCTTGAAAGCCTGGGGGAATCCTTTGTTGTGAGGTATTAGCTAGCCCTGATAGATTCTTGTCGGGAATTCCCTTTTTTTTAATGTTGCCCTTTATTTACTGTCCTGATTCTAGAGTTTTTTAATACTGGTAGCTAGATTTTGTTCATTCTCATGGTTTCTTCCTTTCTGTTGAAATTGTTTACGTGCTTGTGGATTTCAATGGCTTAACTGCGTAATAGTCTGACATGGCGGTTATTAGAGTGGTGCTCTAATAAAATTCTGTGTCCAGGTTGATTCATCAGGTGCTCTGCTATGGCTGACTTCTCTGGTTGAGTTATTCTGCAGTGCCTTTCATTTTCCTTGATTCGTGTTTGGGCAATGCTGCATTTGATGGTCCCTATGTAGGTCTCTATGTAGAACTGTGGTGCTGGAGGAAAGTTCTGAGAGTGCCTTGGACTGTGAGAAGATCCAACCAGTCCATTCTTCAAGAAATAAAGCCTGACTGCTCATTGGAGGGAAGAATAGTAGATGCCAAGATGAAGTACTTTGGCCACATCATGAGAAGAAAGGAAAACTTAGAGAAGTCAGTTAATCTGGGGAAAATGGAAGGAAAAAGGAAGAGGGGCCGACCAAGGGCAAGATGGATGGATGGTATCCTTGAAGTGACTGGATTGACCTTGAAGGAGCTGGTGGTGGCGATGTCCGACAGAGAGCTCTGGCGTGGACTGGTCCATGAAATCACGAAGAGTCGGAAACGACTGAACGAATGAACAACAACATGTAGACTTGTCCACAGTTGCATGGTATACGGTTAAACCTCATTTATTTATTTATTTATTTATTTATTTATTTATTTCGAGCTTTTATATATCGGTCTTCTCAACTTCTGAAGAGGGACTCAGGCCGGTTCACAACAAAGGATTCATAAACAAGTTTAAAACATCACATCCCATAATACACAGATGCATAAAATACATTAAAAACGCTTGCCTAGTTTCCAACAGACCTCAATCAGGGCCAGCTAACACCTCGCAACACAGGATCCTCCAGGCAGCAACCAGCCAGACGTTGAAGCTGCAAGGCCATTCAATGCTAACCAAGGTGGCCAATTGCAACATTCACACTTGTCTCATGCAGACAAGAGTTCTTTCTCCCACCCTGGTCATTCCACAGATAGATAAACCTCACTTGCCTAGTTTCCAACAGACCTCAATCAGGTCCAGCTAACACCTCCCAACACAGGATCCTCCAGGCAGCAACTAGACAGACTTTGAAGCTGCGAGGCCATTCAATGCTAACCAAGGTGGCCAACTGCATCATTCACACTTGTCTCAAGCAGACAAGAGTTCTTTCTCCCACCCTGGTCATTCCACAGATAGATAAACCTCACTTGCCTAGTTTCCAACAGACCTCAATCAGGTCCAGCTTACACCTCTCAACACAGGATCCTCCAGGCAGCAACCAGCCAGGCTTTGAAGCTGCAAGGCCATTCAATGCTAACCAAGGTGGCCAATTGCAACATTCACACTTGTCTCAAGCAGACAAGTGAGGCTTGTCTGCTGTGAGGCTGCCTGCCACAGATGTGGGCGAAACATCATGAGAGAATGCTTCTGGAACATGTCAATACAGCCTGGAAAACTCACAGCAACCCAAGGAAGCCGAGAAAGCCTTCGACAACACATTATATTCTATTTATTTCCTCGGAAATCTAGGCTACAGACCTATCTGTCTATTACGAGGCCTCTCAACCAAGAACTACCAGGGATAACTCTTCAGCTGAGCTTCCTGCGGACTACTCCCATGATGCTCTGCGTGCTCATTCCCTCCCGCAGGTGGGAAGGAGGGTGCCGCTTCGCACTGCGCATGCGTGCCTCTGAGCCGGGGCGCTGACGGGAGGCCGAGGAGCGGCGCCGCGTCGAGGAGAGCGGTAAGTAGGTGTGCTTTTGCGGGCTTCCTTCAAGGGAGAAGCCGGGGGAGCGGGACAGAAGCCGGGAGGGCGTTTGTGTGCCTGGCCGCCCTGGGAAACACGTCAGGTTGTCGTTCTCCCTCAGGCATACGCTTGGCGAAGGTAGCGTTGAGGAAGGAAACCGACATCCGGGACATTTTGGCATTTGGACACCGCTTTGACGGCCAGGCTCCATGCTGAGGAATCCTGGGGTTGGGCATTCGTTGAGGCGCAGAGAACGGCTGTCAATCAGCACTCATTCTACAGTGTAGATTAGGCATGGGCCAACTTGGGCCCTCCAGGTGTTTTGGACTTCAACTCCCACCATTCCTCACAGCCTCAGGCCCTTTCCTTTCCCCCCTCAGCCGCTAAGCGGCTGAGGGGGGAAAGGAAAGGGCCTGAGGCTGTGAGGAATGGTGGGAGTTGAAGTCCAAAACACCTGGAGGGCCCAAGTTGGTCCATACCTGGTGTAGCTGTACCTAGAAGAAAATGGATTAAAAAAAATTTAAGACACTGGGTGTGACAGCAGTGAAATGAGTCAGAACAGGGGTTTTAGAGGGTAAGGTAGGGTTGATTACAAGCTGGAATGTGTCCAGAGGAGGGCGACTAAAATGATCAAGGGTCTGAAGAACAAGCCCTATGAGGAGCGACTTAAGGAGCTGGGCATGTTTAGCTTGAAGAAGAGAAGGCTGAGAGGAGATATAGAATCATAGAATCAAAGAGTTGGAAGAGACCTCATGGGCCATCCAGTCCAACCCCCTGCCAAGAAGCAGGAACATTGCATTCAAATCACCCCTGACAGATGGCCATCCAGCCCCTGTTTAAAAGCTTCCAAAGAAGGAGCCTCCACCACACTCCGGGGCAGAGAGTTCCACTGCTGAACGGCTCTCACAGTCAGGAAGTTCTTCCTCATGTTCAGATGGAATCTCCTCTGAGAGATATGATAGCCATGTATAAATATGTGAGAGGAAGTCACAGGGAGGAGGGAGCAAGCTTGTTCTCTGCTTCCCTGGAGATTAGGACACAGAACAATGGCTTCAAACTACAAGAAAGGAGATTCCATCTGAACATGAGGAAGAACTTCCTGACTGTGAGAGCCGTTCAGCAGTGGAACTCTCTGCCCCGGAGTGTGGTGGAGGCTCCTTCTTTGGAGGTTTTTAAACAGAGGCTAGATGGCCACCTGTCAGGGGTGCTTTGAATGCAATATTCCTGCTTCTTGGCAGGGGGTTGGACTGGATGGCCCATGAGGTCTCTTCCAACTCTATGATTCTATGCTTACCCTAACAGGTAGAATAAAGTGCTTCACAGGACATTTTGCAGAAAATTGGTTAGATCAGGGAATTATTGTTCGTTCGTTCAGGGAAGGCACATTGGAACAGCCAAGTTTTCAAACTCCTCCTAAAGACTGCCAATGTGGGACCTTGCCTAATATCCTTGGGGAGCGAGTTCCAGAGTCGTGGGACCACCACAGAAAACGCCCTCGCCCCCAGAAGTCACAACTGTGAAGGGGGTGGGAGCAAGAGAAGGGCCTCTCCAGACGATCGAATAGATTGCGTGGGTTCGTAAACGGAAATGTGATCAAGCAGGTAGGCGGGTCCTAAACCATTCGGGGCTTTATAAGCAAGATCCTGCACCTTGAATTAGGACTGGAAAATAAAGATAGAAAAGCAAAAGAACAAACACTGGAGAAGGATTGGGAAGGAAGACTTTATCCTTCCCAAAAAAGCGTCCCCATGCTCTGGTCCTCCAGGTGTTTTGGGACATATCTGTACTGTATAATTAATGCAGTTTGGCGCCACTTTTAACTACGAGGGCTCAAGGCATGGAATTATGGGAGTTGCAGTTTGCAGGGTCTTCAACCATCTCTGTCCAAGAGTGCTGGTGCATCACCAAACTACAGCTCCCCGGATTCCATAGCATTGTGTCATTAAGACGTTTGCTTCTTGGGAGGAGAACAATGGCCAATCTCGATAAAATAGTTGATTTTTTTAATTTGTCGTGTCAGGAGCGAACCAAAACAGTAGTACTGCATTAAAAACAAACAAACAAAACACAAAGTTTTCAGACTTGGTATTCTGTTAAATGTCCTTTGATCAGTATCTGGCCATTTGGAGTGCCTCTGGTGTTGCTGCAAGAAGGTCCTCCATTGTGCATGTGGCAGGGCTCACGTTGCATTGCAGCAGGTGGTCTGTGGTTTGCTCTTCTCCACACTCGCATGTTGTGGATTCCACTTTGTAGCCTCATTTCTTAAGGTTGGCTTTCCACCTTGTGGTGCCAGAGCCCAGTCTGTTCAGCCCCTTCCAAGTCACCCAGTTTTCTGTGCCCAGGAGGGAGTCTCTCATTTGGTACCAGCCATTGATTGAGGTTCTGGGCTTGATAAAATAGTGGAAGGAGTGGGAAGGAAGACTTCCCAAAAGGGATTCCCCATGCTCTGGTCCTCCAGGTGTTTTGGGGCACATCTGTACTGTATAATTAATGCAGTTTGGCACCACTTTTAACTGCCAGGGCTCAAGGCTATGGAATCATGGGCGTTGGAATTTATACGGTCTTCAACCACCTCTACCCAAGAGTGCTGGTGCCTCACTGAACTACAGCTCCCCGGATTTCATAGCATTGAGTTATGAAGACGTTTCCTTCTTGGGAGGAGAGCAATAACCAATCTCAATTGAATAGAGAAGCGTAGAGACATCACACTGGCAACGAAGGTCCACATTGTTAAAGCAGTGGTATTCCCTGTAGTGACCTATGGATGCGAGAGCTGGACCATAAGGAAGGCTGAGCAAAGGAAGATAGACACTTTTGAACTGTGGTGCTGGAGGAAAATTCTGAGAGTGCCTTGGACCACATGAAGATCAAACCAATCAGGAAATAATGCCCGGCTGCTCACTGGAGGGAAGGATATTAGAAGCAAAGATGAAGCACTTTGGCCAAATATTGAGAAGACATTAAAGCTTGGAGAAGATAATAATGCTGGGGAAAATGGAAGGAAAAAGGAAAAGAGGCCAACCAAGGGAAAGATGGATGGATGTTATCCTTGAAGTGACTGGCTTGACCTTGAAGGAGCTGGAGGTAGCGACCACCAACATGGGGCTCTGGCGTGGGCTGGTCCATGAGGTCACAAAGAGTCAGAAATGACTGAACGAATAAACAAGAACCACGAGTCATTGCACTTGAAGTGGTGTCAGACTGCATTAATTCTATAGTATGGCTACTCCCAGAATTTATGCACATTACCCAAAGTGGCTGAGGCTTCTGGTAGCTGGTCAATAATAATAATAATAACAACAACAACAACAACATTATTTGTATTCCACCCTATCTCCCCAAAGGGACTCAGGGCGGATTCCAACAGACAAAAAGGCAAACATTCAATTCCTTGAAAAACAATAGATACAAATATAATAAACAAACCAACCAAATCCCACATTAGAACAATATCTAAAACCAAATTATAAACACACAATCTAAGATTAATGAAGACTCTAACCTATCAATTAAATTAACATAGAAGCACAAACAACAATAGAGTTTGAGAATCATTGCAGTCTCTGGTTGCAGACATCTGGTTGAAAAGGTGGGTAGAAATGGTAAATTTTGTAATTTGGTTGGGAAGGTAGGTTTGTGGTAGCACTATTTTTTTTTCAGCTTATGGATGGAAGGTATCCTAGAAGTGACTGGCTTGACCTGTGCTTTCTGTGCTTTGTGGTGTTGTTAGATGTGTCCTGTATTTTCGGTTATGCATGTGTTTGTCTATTACATATATTTAATAGTAATATTTTTATACAATGAAAGGTCAATCAGCAGAAGGCATTGGGGGATAATTCTCCTGCTCCAGCTGCTAAATCGAAGAGTCAGGCCGGATAGCACACCCGAACCTAGAAATCCCTAATCGTAGGCCTCACCTGGTTTACAATGCCCAAACACCAGGAAGTTGTAAGAAGCCTTATTTGTTCTTTCTCCTGTTAAACAAACCACAGAAAAAAGGGAGGAGAGGAAAAGTGTAGTCTGCAACAGTCTTAAGATAGAGTGCAAGGTGTGTTGTGTCATCTTAACTAGATTAAAATGTGATTTTCAACTAACGAGCTAATCTCAAGTCTGCAGAACACTATTCCCTTAATCTGAGTTTTAGATTTTCCCCTGTAAAGAAACAATCATGCTGCCTAATACCTTTGTGTACTTTATAATGCTTGGAAATGGGAAGAAGTTAAACATAAAGGTCAGTGACTAGGAACCACGGTGACACAATGGGTCAAACCCTTGTGCCGGCTAAACTGCTGACCTAAAGGTCTGCGGTTTAAATCAGCAAGATGGGATGAGCTCCCATCTGTCTGCTCCAACTTCCCATGTGGGGACATGAGAGAAGACTCCCACAGGATGGTAACACATCCGGGCATCCCCTGGGTAACATCTCTGCAGATGGCTAATTCTCTCGCACCAGAAGCGACTTGCAGTTTCTCAAGTCCTTCTGACATGATAAAAAACACCTTTAGATAGGGAGGCATATGTTTCTCTCTTTTGTTTTCAACAAGTCTGTATAATTTAGTGTGTCTTACTGAAATTGCTATATAGATAATAAAAACATAATTTATCACTGTTTCTTCTGTAAAAACAAATTGTTAATATTTTATTAAGTGTATCCACCGCCTTAATGAGAAATCATCATGTAATTTAGATGTTTTGTTTTTTGTCCATACTTGTTTTAAAATCTTTGCTTACGTAGAGTTCCCTGTATTACCTTTTATACTCAATTAATTTTGTGAATCTTCTATTTATTCCTTAATCCTGTCCCTTACATATATGTTGCTTTACATTTTTAAAATGGCTGGAATTGCCCCTCACATGTTAACTCGTATTTGTCTGTTTAAAAATAAACCCTGATCAAGTATTTTGAAGCTCAAAGATAGCTGTGTCACTTGATTTTCCAATATTGCAGTGAATATCTGTGTCATAGAGAAAAAGAATGAAAAGCACAATTAATGTTA